ATTAAAATAATTATGAGTTGCACGAGTCGAATTATTGTTAATATTTTACATTAACGTGCAATAACGTGTGTCATAATAGGAGAGGAAAAAGTAATTATACTTTGTTCTAATAATTTTATTCAATTACATAATAATACTTAAAAAAGTATTTAAAGTATATAACACTTAAAAAAGATTACTTTTATTTTCTTTTGGACTTTGTTTATGTAACCGTAAACTTTACCAAGATTTATAGATCGATGAACATGCAATTGTTGCGAAACACTTGCTTACCACCAAGAAGGGAATTGAAAATTTGAAAAAAAATAACGATAGATTGAAAAGTAGATAGTATTAAAAGCAGAGAATTTTAAATTGTGGATTTTAAGAATTTTATTTTTATTATTTTAAATTGTATATTTGTTAAATTAAGAATTGAAGGATATTTCAAAAAATTAAATTTTTGTTTAAAATCATCGCTTCTTAACAATAAATTAATTAATTAAAAAAACTAAACAATAATAATAAAAAAAATTAAATTTTTAAATTAATCCATCATTCGTATGCGAAAAGTTTCTCCAATTTATTTATTTATTTATTTATTTATTTATTTATTATTCATATCTGTTCTGTTAAAACACGTTAAGAAATTGATGATATGCTGCTTTGAGGATGTAACATAATGCAAGAAGAAGAAGAAGAAAAAAAAAAAAAATAAAGTGAAAGGAAAAAAAATATCAAAAATAGGTAAGAAGATGTAGTGACAAGGCTAATAAAATAATTTTATTTTTAAGAAACCTTGACCTCGATCGATGAAGTTTGTCTTCTAAAAAATTACTCTTTCGTAAAAAAAGAGAAATTTACAATTACATAAAATGTCAAATACCGTACATGCATGCATTTCAACTTTATTATTGAACTAGTTTATTTTATTCGTGTGTTTGTGTTTGTAAATTAAAACAAAAAAAAAAAAAAAAAATAAAAGATCGATGTGCATATACTTAATTCATAATAATACAATAATTATTAATAATTATTAATTTTCGATCAACTCTTTCTCTCGTTCAAAAGTTTCCACGTTACAAATTTAAACATAAACATTGGAAGAAATTATGATTACGCGCAATTCGTAATTGTATGTTTCAGATTTCAAAAGGGAAATATGAGTGAATTAACGGAAATACAGTCTTTTTACAAAGGAAAGAATATATTCGTAACCGGTGGAACTGGTTTGATGGGAAAAGTTCTTATTGAGAAATTACTTTACAGTTGCAGCGATATAAATAAAATTTATGTTTTGATACGGCCAAAAAGAGGTCGTAGCCCGGAAACTCGTATGGATGAAGTGTTTAAATTGCCCGTGAGTATTCTCTCTTTCTCTTCTTTCCTACCTCTCTCTCTCTCTCTCTTTAACTCTTATTTTCTTTTAATCGAATTGATCGAAATACTTTCACACGATATTATTATTTATTTATTCACTTATAACGAAGTAAAAATTTAAATAAATTTAAACAGATGTTTCAAAGGGTACGGAAGCAAAAGTCACAAATGTTGAAAAAAGTGGTAACGTTAAATGGGGATGTTAGCGTGGAGAATTTAGGATTGACCGAAGAACAATCGGAGTTATTGATGAACGAAATCGATATAGTATTCCATTTTGCAGCAAATCTTAAATTAGAAGCTAAATTAAAGGATGCCATAGAAATGAACACGGTAAATTCATCAATTCAATTATCCCATCTTTCATATAGTTTTAAATAAAATGTGTTTAAAGTATCAATTATTGAAAAAAAAATATATATTTTAACTTGTCTTTTACTATTTCGTTAAAGGTTGGGACGAGAAGGATATTGGAATTGGCTAAAAAAATGAAAAAGTTGAAAATGTTTGTACATTTAAGCACGGCTTTCTGCTATGCCGATAAAGAGGAACTCGACGAAAAAGTGTACGACGCACCTACCGACCCTCACGATGTTATGAGAATGATCGAATGGCTAGACGAAAGTGCTATCGATCTAATTACGCCCAAGTAATTCTATAAGAATAAAAATCAGTTAATTTTTTTCGAAATCGTTACATTGCACGATAATAATTTTTCAATTAAATAAATTGATTTCGTTTTTAAGCGTACATTATCCGTCTATTAGACTAATCCAATATTGATTTCATTAAATATAGGTTATTGAATCTGCATCCAAACACTTACACGTATTCAAAGAGATTGGCCGAGAAATTGGTAGCAGATGAATATCCGAATTTACCTTGTATCATCGCTAGACCATCGATAAGGTAAAAAAAAAAAAAAAAAAAAAGAAAAAGAATTATGCAAATATATTATACTTTTATTATAAATTTTAATTTATTCCAAGGAGACAGAAATATATTATGTTAATGCAAATGAAAATAATTGTTTTAATCTGTATTTATAAGATTTATATTTATTTAAAATTTTACGTTGTCATGTGTACAGTAACACCAGCTTTGACAGAACCGTTACCTGGTTGGGTGGACAATCTGAATGGACCCGTGGGCATTATGGTAGGCGCAGGCAAAGGAGTTATAAGATCGATGCTTTGCAATGAAAAATATCACGCTGAAGTGATGCCGGTTGATTTTGCTATCAACTTTCTAATCTCCATTGCTCATAAGGCAACTACGATTGAAAAGTAATCAGCTACTTTTTTTTTTTTTACAAATAATCTGTTTCGTCAATATCTTTTCCAAATAATTCTTTCTTTTTTCTTTCTCACTAGGAAAACAAGTATACCGGTTTATAACATTACGCAAAGTGGCGTGGTACCTATCACCTGGGGAGAGGTATTGCGGAAAGGGAAAAAGATCGCTTATCAATATCCTTTCGAAGGGCAAATTTGGTATCCGAGCGGAGATATACATAACAGCAAGTTCGTGCATAATCTGATAGTCTTTTTTTTCCACATTGTACCGGCATACTTCATCGATTTCCTCATGTTGATATTTCGGCAAAAAAGATTGTAAGTCTCTAGTAACTTTCACCGATCTATATTTTTGTTTTCTTTTGTTTTGTTTTCCCCTATTCTTTTAGGTTATGTAAGTCAGTTATGCAATTTTTATACAGAGAGTTTCACGCGAGAGTTCCTATTTTTTTTTTTTTTTTTTATTATACTGCTACTAACTACTATATTTTTTTTTAGCATGGTTCGTATACAAAACCGTATCTCAGTTGGGCTTGAACTTTTACAATATTTCACTACGAGAGAATGGGTTTTCCACAACACGAACTTGTTGATATTGTGGAAGGAAATGAACCCCAAGGACAGAGAGATCTTTCCAATTGATTTGTTGTCCATCGACGAGGACGAGTATATAAAAACTTGCATCTTAGGCGCAAGGCAATATTGCATGAAAGAAAATTTGTCCACACTGCCGAAAGCTCGAAGACACCAAGCTGTGTAAGCGTTATATTACGCTATTGTATACGGAGAGTTTGGATTAGTAATTTTTATGAATTATCGCGTTATGAACTCGCTCTTCTGTTTACAGGATGTACATCATTCACTTAATTGCCATATATCTGTTCTATTTTGGGATATTGTATTTTATTTACAAAAACTTCGAATTTGTAAGATTTGGCCTGGACAGCGTTACAGAAAACATGAAATCTTTACCAATTTTGAACAAAGTTATGCAAAAAATTAATCATTAATAACACAATATGTAATAATATAAATTTTTATATTTTCTTTTTATATTTCAAAATCGTATCTTGTATATTGTAAATAGATTAATAAAAAATGAACGGGTTTCGTTAAGAATGTTATGTTCAGTTACTTTTATTTACCACAGTTACTTCTAGAATGATCCTTCATTTAATTATCTTTCCGCCGTAATTTGATAATTATATATAAGTGTTAACGATTTTTTGTTAATAATACGAACGAAAAAATATATAAGAATAAATTAATAAAATTATTTTATATTAAATCTTCAAATTTATATAAATAAAAAACTTATATGAATAAAAAAAAGTTTGTAATCGTTATACGTATAAATTACGTATAAATTCTTCAATTTGATATCTAATACGGTAGCGCTGAGAGAAATTTTAGGTTCAACACCGAGTCCATTATTGATTTACCCTTATCTCACCAACCTTCGTATCTTTATTTAATTTCTTTTGGATTTAGTTTTTCCAAAGAATGCAATTCTCTTTGTAATTACATTTTTTTTTATACCATTATTGTTATTAGCTAAGTTATCTGAAAAAATTCGCAAAATATTATCGTTTAATAAAGAGTTTCGGATCGCTAACGAATTCCATAAAATCCAATTATTTAAAAAATAAGTAGATTAGTTACGGTTATATAGTTAGCTTTTTTTTCATTTTCAAAAAATTTATCAATATCAATTTAATAACAAAATCAAAAAAAAAAATTTGTAAAGGAAAAAGAGGTGATTCCAAATTTCTGATTATATAAATAAATGTATAAATGAAAATAAACTTACACGATACACCAGAAACACGAGCGAGATACAAAACACTGATAAAAGTTGGTGGGTAAGATCTCTATTTCTGCTATCACACATATATTCCAGGTATTTCGGCAATTTGCTGCTTTCTCAAGGAAATTGAGAAAAGAAATGTGGTATAGGTCACCGTAATTTTTGCAAGAAACGCGAACGATATATAAGTAAAAATGAACTTATACTGAATATACCGTGAAATACGAAAAAAGGATATGAAATGTCGATAAATGTTAAGATTAGTGTTTGAAGGTGAAGAATTCCTACCTCCCTTTGGTACGTATGCCTGGTATTTGATATGTATTTCGGTAATTTCACGAAGGAAGGAATGAAGTGTAGGTCACCGGCAAGTAGTGCCGCGTTAAATGGAAGGGCATAGGGAGAGTGAAGCGGTGGATAACTGCGCCGATGACGCGAACATAGTCTGTATTGTGTGTGTGTGTGTGTGTGTGTGTAAATACGTAGTGGTAAGTTGCGCATGCGCTGATTTTCCAGGATAGCAGAACGGGTAGGTCGGGTAGGATCGGACAGGACTCGAGGGTTATTCGAAGCGCGAACAACATCTAGTCTGAATTTGTCTACCGCTCGATTCACATACGTGCTCGTTCGTTTATTCATCGTGACACCGGTGTGAAAAACATTTATTGACCGAAAGTATCCTGCGATCACGACTTAAACAAGAGTGAATCGTGGATTTGTCGTTTCGATTACGATTGTCGCTAGCTCTTTCTTGTCGTATCACGTTTATTTTTACTTTTGTGTAACTAGAAATGAAAGAAAAACGTAACGAAGGATCGGAACATGAGGTGTAACGCGTTTGCTTACGCGTTCATACGACCTTAACGTTATTATTATTCACATTGCGAATCGAAGAATCAAGAATGGCGCTCGTCGTTATTGTGAAGAATTTTCAAGGATTGAAATGTAAAGGGGACAAGATTGTCAAGGTTGATTTCCGGGGTAAGTTTCGAATATTATTCTTCGACGATCGACCGATTTTCATTTTTCCAAAACACGTTGATCCTTTCCCTTGTTTTTTATAAAACAATGTTGCTTTTGAATGTCGTAGAGTTGATTGAACTTTGTAAAGGTGGTCGTGCGAATCATTTATTGCGAATCAATATAGCAAATAATCAATCAGAATTTCATAATGTTGTATTACTTATTTCCTCATAAACATACATGTATAAATTCAAATTCGAATATTTGATTTCATTTGATTCGTTTACATAAAATAAACGAGTAACTTAAATTAAAAAAATATATTACCGATATAATGGTAATTTTTTTTTTAATTTTATATCAGAAAATTAAAATTTCATGTATGAATAAAAATATATTAAATATTTGAGAATAGAAAATAACATCGAATTGCAAAGCGTTGAAAGTTTGAATCAATTGCAGGATCGATTCAAACGAGTAAGTACGAGTCTAAAACGTGACAGTCATTCTACATTGCATTTAAGATAACAAGTTTTCAACACTGAAGAGTTTTCAAGAGTTGTTCAATTAATGAAAACTTTAATTGTCGTTCGAGTCGTTCAGAAAATCGCATTTATCATTCTTTCGTTCTTAGATGTAACTTGGATATTTTCACAAAGTGTTATAATATTAATCGATGATATAAATTAAAATTAATCTTTTTAGAAATAAATGTTTTTATTTAGAACGTTATTATTTGTCGCACATAGAATAGATTTGCGTTTCACGTATTGTGTTCAATGGACACGTGATTTTCACGATATATTAATGCTTTGGAAAATTCAATGACAGAAAAGATGAAGGAAGAAAACAAAAGCCTTTCTCTATACATAGAATGTGATGTTTCATTTAATTCTCTTTATAGATATTTGTGCTTTACTTAGAACATATTATATTGGTTATCATTTCATCAATCATCGATTGATTTTTTTCAACGTGCAATCTTATTTACGCAACAAATCATTTTTAATCGATCTTTCACATTTTTCTCCTCGATCATATTTTTAAATAACAGTTTATTTTATTGAAATAATAATATTAAATGAACGGTTCGGCTAACCGCGAATTATTAAACAGGCTCGGATCATAATATCGACCACATTAATTACAGAACTTGACTATTCTAATAACCGCCTACACGGAGATGTTATTTGCGTATTCAATTATTCCACGTATTTAAAGAATCGTGATATATAAATAAACTTTTGAGGACAACATATATCTTTTCCTTCCTTGTTTATTCGTTATATAAATCCATTTTTTGGATTTTTTTTTTTTTTTACTTTCTTTGATTTTCTCTTTTTATTTACTTTATTTACTAAAGATTACGTTTCATAAATTGACATTTATGAAAATGTAATAAATCATTTGTACAATTCTCCACGATTCTTTACGAAACGATGCAACATTTCATTTCATTTCCTTAATTATTCTTGCGATCACAGTAAAGTAACTAACACCATATATTTCTTACGATTACTTGGAATATCGTTGGGAAAAAAAGTATCAAAGATGAAAGTTTTTTTTTCTATTTTCTTAAAGGGATCTCGCTATATAATAAAAAGATGTTTCAAAGCGTCGTGGATAGATTCTGCGATAACGAGGATAAAGTTCATAATTATCTATGCACGGCGTTTAAGGGAATGTCAATGGTTAAAAATAGGAAATGAAAAATAGGAAGAAGCAAGCGTTAGCCATTTTTATTCAGCGACAGATAATGCCGGATATTTTAAATTGAACCGTTCGGTGAATATGTATCGAGGCGTGATGATCTCGAGTGTTAAACGATACGACTGGAAAGATTAGCGATGGGTGGTTAAACGAAGCAGCAGCTAATGGTCGGCTTAGTCGGTCATCCCGCGGGATTGTGAACAAACATAGAGGGGAGATTCAAAGGCAAGACAAAGTAACGACGAATATCGTTAACTGGAGGTTAACCTCGCTTCTGTAGGAGATTAAACTTTCATTTAATTATGCTTGCCCCAGTTCACGGACGGTCTATAGCTCGCGTGAGTTACAAAGTTTTCGCGTCAAAATCTTGTGTGTTTGACCCTTTCTTAACGTAGTTTATTTAGATTTTTATCAATGCTCAAACGTGTAATCATAAGAACGTATTTTCCTAATCGTTTTGATTATTCATGCTTGACCTATTTATTTTGTGCATCTATCTAAAATTAAATGCGCGTGTATAATTGTTCGACTTTTGCTTTCGCAGAGCAAATGATGAGAACAGTTGCGTGACGTTTATTATTATTATTATTATTGCGAATAGAAAATGATCCCGTTATATTACATTTCATTTGTGATTGTGTAAAAAAATTTTTTCCATTTTTCCCTTTTTATTTCACATTCTATTTCAGTCACATTTACGTCACGATTGTTACATTTTATTTCTTTCTTTTCACGACAAATAATACATGCACATCCGGCTTGTATTTTCCTCTCTCCTCTCTCCTGTACACGAGTGTAATAGAAAAGAATGCGAAGTGTGAATTTTCAAGACATAAGATAGCTACGAACGTTTTTACTGTTAGTTTTAGAGTTGGCGCGTGTGCACGCTTAAATAGCATGATAAATGATAAATCGCAAACTAACTTTTGACACGTATTTATCCGAAGTATGCAATAAATTTTGAAACGATACAAATTAAATACAACGATGAAAATTTAATTACTATTGTTGGGAGAATAATGTTGAGCGAGAGTCAGTAAGAGGAATGGAGAATAATTAGAGAAATTAAATTCGATGATCCTTATCGAATCTATTGATTGATGTCGTGAAAATACCGTTTTTTCAATTCTTCGTCAATTAAATATACTTTGATCGATTTTATTTTAAAAAACAACATGTAAAATGCATGTAGACTCGTTTCATGAAATATTTACCTTACAGCTTTCTAAATAGCATTTACAAAATATTCAATTCAAGAGAGAAACCTTATATACCCGTGTACATTTGAAACTTTCTATCTGTTTGCGTGTGTATATATATATGTATAATTCCCTTTTCCTTGTATTTCCTTTTTATAAATAAATCTAAAAATTTATTTCCATCTTTTCTTTCTTATAACTTGAAGAAAAAAACCTAACCTCACTTTTATATTACAATTCGATCGTTTATCCTCCCATCCCTGTTTCCATCCACGATGTACGAACAAAATAATGATTCAACGATTAATATTCTCATTACAGGTGTTTCTCATTATTCAAAATGTCTCGAAGAAAGCGGAGATTATATTTCGGTAGATGAGGTATGTAATGCAATTAATTTTTTTAACCGTTCAATCTAATAAATATAGTTCAAAATACGTTTAACCTAGTTGGATTTATTATTAAGAGAAGGGTGAAAATTGTTATGCCAGTTTATCAGTACCATTAATATAATTAGAAAACGAGTTAGTCGTTGACGACTAGCCGTACGTTTAATTTATGCATAATAATTAACTTTCTAATTACACGGCAATTTACCCTTCCTCTTTTCGTTTAATGTAATTAGCATCCATTTCCCGCATTTGGTATGAACAGATTTCTTTTTTCCTCCCCCCCCAACCTTTCGAATAAATTCACACTGTGAGTTACTCATTAAATAAAAAAACATTCTCGCCAAAAAAAAAAAAAATTATAAAACGCGAAGAAGAAACTTCCCTTTTTTCTTTTTTTTTTTTCTTTCAGGAAAGTTGTGCGTTTTCGAGAAGAAAGTTGGCGTGGTTAATACCTTTTGTTTCGTATTACAAAAATTACTTTGTAATAGTTTCGGAGAGCGAGAATTTTTCGAAAAATTGGAATATGCAAATTTCCGCGCAAGGGAATTTAAACTTTGCGAAAAGCGAAATTAAACGAGCGAATTAAACTACATGGAGATGGTGTGTCTTGTATATCAAGTGCTTATCGCGACCCAGTTTTTTGCTCGATTGAAGTTTACGAAAATACTTTTGTAATGCTTTTTTTTTTTAATCAATACGCACGAATCATTTGTTATTTTATCATTTTCGTTTTATTTCGCGTTATTTGCGTTTGTTCACTTTTCTTGATTAAAATCGTGGAAGCGAAATGGAAATTACGATGAATAATGAATATCGACGAAAAATTAAAATGACACGATACGTAGATAATCAATCGAAAAAATATATATTTTTTTTTTTCATTTTTATTACGGTATTGCAATTGAACAATTGATTTTAAAAAAAAGGATCGTATTTAATTTTGAATGAAAAATGTGTTATTTACCAAGCTCGCGCGTTACACCGTTTATATACTATATATCGATTAGTTAGCTATTGCTTGTTACAAAAAAGATGTACGTTGGTTAAAGTATTAAAAAATAAAAATAATATTGGCATTTAAATATCAAAAGATCACGTAAACATAAATCGAAATAGAGGTTAGTTTTGTTCGCGCGTGATTAAATTAATCGTTCGAATTTTAATCCGACGATCAAAGGAAAATTGCATGTTGATGAAATAATAAATTCACAACTGGGTCACTTAATACAGAGTTACTATGCCAGAGAGTTGTGCAGAAGAAGGAAATTTTAGAATTGGCCAGCGTCACGAAAAACGTTTACGTTACGTTGAGTTGACAACATAAAATCCAGATGTCATTCTAATCGAGTAACCAGTTTTCTAAACCGTTAAACCGAACCTCTTTTTGCAACGAGACGAACTTCTTTCGTTGATTTTTCTTGAAAAAACGAACAGGAACAGAGGAGGATTAAAAGATATAATTTACTTTAATTGCAATTCAACTTACAACGTTGACACAAATTCGAAAGCTTTCCAACTTGCTTAGCCAAGAGTGAATTAACCAATTTCGACCGAGTTTGAAAGCTATTCCACGCGATACGTGTGATACGATAAAGTGAAACCGGCAATCTATTACGCCGTTGGTATTATCGAATTAATTCCTGCGAATACTCTTCGATAATGGATTAAATTATATTATATTACTTAACATTTCTTATCGTTCTTACGAATCTGTGATATCTCATCTCGTGGATTGTTACGATGCTGTCGATGTTGAAAGAAATATAAGGCCAAAAAATAATTAGATAGTTTGTTAACAAGAAATTTGCTCGACTAATTTTTCTCCTTTTTCTTCAGAGTTTCACTTGGAACTTGGGAAGACCGGTGGATGAAGTGGAAGTGTTGCAATTGTCAGTGATATCGCGAGGAGTTTTGAAAAACGAAAAGGTGCTCGCGAAATATGGTTTGGTTTTACAGACAGTGGTGCGAGAAGGACGAATCGATATTACGGATTTTTTAGTGGACTTGAATAACAAACCACTTCCGGTAAGTTGGAACAGCACACAATGCTCGCGATAACACGTCTCTGCGTTCAATTCGAGCGATTTGAAGTCGAATCGATCAAACAATCGTATTTTTTTTTCTTCGCTTGTTTTTACACGAACATGAATATGAATAAATCGACGTAGCCAATTTATAAAATGATATTGGATAAGTAAAATTTTTAATTTATTCTATAAAAATATCTGATCAAACAATCGTATTTTTTTTTCTTCACTTCTTTTTACAAAATGAATAAATCGAATAAATAGCCAATTTATAAAATGACGTTGGATATATAATCGAGATATGGTATAACTGAATAAAATTTTTAATTATTTCTCCATAAAAATATCTCTGAATATTTTCGTCTCTTTCACAATTCTATTTTGATCGATTCGTGCGTGAAATTAAATATTAAATATTTCTTGATCAAACGACATTATATAGTTATTCCAGCCAATCCCACATCCATTTACACATCACAAAAACACACGGGATATAAAATCATACATTGATCTCGATTACGCGCACGAGTCTTCTCAGAATTGGAAAATAAAGTTTTAAATTCTATTCTGCCGTTTCCACGGTATAACAAAATCCATTTAATATGCGCAGACCGTCGTCTGCTTCGAAATTCGATACAATCCGCCCGACGGAAGCTGCAGCTCGTATGCGGCGTCCGAAATAATGGAGGATGAGCAACAGATACTGATCGACATTGAGCAAAACATAGCGAATCTCGAGAAAAGCCTGGAGCAAGCTAATACCGCCGCCGAAGCTGGAAAAAGGAAAGGATCTTGGCACAGTCCTCAAAAGGCTTCGAAGCGGGGTCTTCTTCAAAGGGGTAGCTCGTTACTGACGGATGAAAAGTCACCTGATCGAAAAAGGTGAGAAATTCCCGGTGGGCCGATGTATGCGGGTTGGTGTAGGTTTCATTCCCTTTCCATTTTATTTACTCTTCGCCTCATCGAAAGAGACGATCAAAATGATCGAGTAAAAAACGAAAAAATCGAAAGATGTTGTTTCGTTTGCTCGTTTCTTATCTGACATTTCAGCAACAGAAGTGCTATTTCATTAATAGCAGATAATCATATGGAAGATTCGGAAAATAATGGTATAAATCACATTTTCTATGGTTAATAGTCTTATTGTGTAAATTTAATTGACTTGTCAAAGTTTAAACAATAAAGAATGTGAGTTACATTGATCAGCTTCTGAACTCTTCACCAACGTTAACAAATTATATTGGGAATAGAATAAGGAATAGAAAATACTTAAATATGATCTAATACTTAAATATGATCTAATAATACAGATAAAAGAGAATTTATAATTTATCTCATTTCGGTTTGCATTAATCAAAGTTGATGCAGGACGAAAGAAAATGATATTTTTTGCAGTAAAAGTTCAACGTTGAAAAGCATGAAATCGTTCATAAAATTGGGTAAACAGAGGCCGCCTAGAACTCGATCCTGCGACAGTGGCTCGGATACTAGCGAGTTACTGGACAGAAGAGACTCGAGCTGTCCGACATCGAACGAGCCTTCAAGAACGAATTCGATGACTTCTTTGGAGACGAACATCTCCGATTACGACACTCAAGTTGGATCAAACACGACAGAAGTTCAGGACGTGATTGTAAAGTCGACGAAAAAATCAAAACCAAAGGTTCGATTTTCACATAACCTTCAAAAGCTTATTTCTCTTTCGTTTATCGTTGAAGATGATTTATCGCGAATTGAGAGACCGTTTCGATACCATCTTCTTTGATCGTAAAATTGAAAACAACATTCTAAATAAAATCCCGGATATATGAAGTAAAAATTTTAAAGCCAAGTTAGAATGGTTTAAATTAAAAAGATTGAAACATTTCGCTCGAGCTATTTGCCGATTTAATTTGAAAAGAATATCGTATTTAATAATCTTTTTGAAATAATATTCTATCATTTAAAAAAAATGTTCTATAGCGTATTTTCTACGAATATAAAGTTTCTTTCAATTTATTCTCCTCTGAACGTAAGATAATACCACATGTGTCTGCTGTTTTCCCTTTCTCAATTATCGAAATAATCGATAGTTCTCGTAAATTCCGCAAGATCGCGTAGAGAGCTCATTAATTTATTCCGCGTTGTTGTGTCTCGAGTGCCGAAATTGTGAAACAAAACGAAGAATATTCGTTTGAACACCCTATAGAATATAAAGGAAAAGGAAATAGATAAATGACGCGATAAATTGCATAACAAGTTTTGCATAAGAATTCTTCGGGCCATTTCCGTCTTGGAAAATCGATGATTTCTTGCGACTTGGATAAACGATATTATAGCTCGTGAGAAAATTTCACGAGAGGATATCGTTCCCTGCTTCGTTTTCGCAGACGATCGACACAGGGCAAACAGCGTTAAAGGCGCAAGATTATCAAGTTTGCATCACCATTATCGAGGCAAGGCAATTGGCGGGACTGAACATGGATCCGGTTGTTTGCGTGCAAATAGGAGATCAACGAAAATACACCAGTGTCAAAGAATCGACGAACTGTCCCTATTACAACGAGGTAAATGTCGTTTTCGATCAATTAACTTTCGAAGGAAACAGTATTCGTTTCAACTCGGTCGTTTCAATTGTTTAAGAAAAATTATCGAAAAAATTGTCAAACGAAGTGTTGAAGGACGCAAAAAAAAAAAAAAAAAAAGGAAAAAGAAAAAAGATGAGAGAATAAATAAGTTATTATTATCTTTCCCATAGACAATTTTATGCTAATTATTAAATCAATACAAATACTCTATTATATTGAAATGTACGCTTCGTTCGAGTGTGTAACGGACAATTCTACTTTTTTAATTTTCTCCATTTGAATTTTTCGCTTTTTCCAACCGTTTTTCAACGTCCACCCCCGTTCATTTTTGCGTTCGTATATATTTTTCTCGTTCGTTTTTCCATTTTTTTTCTAAATATACATGTATGTATATTTTCTTTGTTCATCGAAAGCAACAGAGTGATATTTCAATGAAATAATATTCCCCATAACCCGTTTTTTGTTTTTTTTTTTTTCAGTATTTCGTCTTCGATTTTCACATGTCACCTGTAATGTTGTTCGATAAAATCATCACACTGTCGGTAAGTCGTTTATTGAATATTTTTTAAACACTCACTCACTAGCTATGAGGTTGCTACTTATAGAGAGTTAGGAAGCTATCTGCTTCATTAGATAATTAGAATTAATTGGCCTTCGGCGATAACGTTTTAACAAATAACGGTAACGTCCAAGCAAAATAAACCGCGCTTTGAATAAAAAAAGCGTTCTCGGCATTAAGTTTTTTAAAACCATAATTTATTTTCATCTTTTCATATTATTTTTCAGAGATCAGACGAATTGCCAATTGTTGCCAATTAACTTTGAACTCAGTTTGCCATCATTCTCGGTCGATAAAAATTTATTGCCGACAACGTTGCATTTTTGAATAATCAATTACTGTCATCTCTCTCATGGTCTGGGCGAGAAGCTGAGGGAATATCGATGCATGGTGCACAGAGAGAATCTCTTGCTCTTTGAATTTATTTCAAGGTGTTAATAATAATTAGTGAACTGTCAATACAGCTCGATCGATAACATGAAAAATTATCTTTCTACTTCGATTCAACTTGCTTGCCAGCGTGTTCGAAAGGAAATCGTGCATAGATTCGTTAGATGGTTAGATACAAATGTGAATAGAAGAAAGAAAGAAAGAAATACTTGTTTCTAATATTTGGAGAGCTTGAAAACACAGGACTTGAAAACACTTTTTTTGAAACAGGTAGTAGCACAAATTTCGCACACATTTACGTGGTGAATGGTTAAGGAAGCGTATTACTTGAAGTGAATATTACTTGTATTGATATGCAGGTGCAGCAATCGCGGAATCTCTTACGCGCTAATCTAACGCTGGGCAGCTTTAAGTTAGACATCGCGACCGTGTGGGCGCAACCAGGTATACATTTTTACAAGTTCTTCGAAAGGGATTCTTATAATAAAAATTAATTATATCAAATCATCTCTTCTAATTATCATTCTCTCTCTCTCTCTCTCTCTCTCTCGTGTTTCGAGACTCTAAACAATCGTTTCATTGAAGAATGTTAGAAATCGTTCAAGGATTCTCATCTCACAAAAAAACATTGATCGAAAATGAATCGTTATATTTTATGCATGCACATACAACGATAATATTCGTGCAGCGCATGAACAAAACTACTATCTCGTCGATTGGAGGGAAACACGCAAATTAAACGGAAGGATAATTCTTTATATTACGCTTTGACCGATGGCCGCTTCATAGTAAAATAGAAATATTTATTGCACGTCACAAAAAAAAAAAGAAGAAATTGTGCAATTTACTCGCGCACGTAGATAGAAATAGCACGTTGGAAACGATCGTGTAAGTATCTAAATCATCCTTTTACCATACAATAAATCCATATATATATATATATATTCGTTGCACGTATAAAACACGTTCGAAATGTTATACCATTATATCATCGACGAGAAATCTACTAATTGAGTAGGTATATAAACGTCCTTCTTTTCTTAATCTCATCCATTCACGTGTTTATATATGTATACTTATACATTTAAATGTAATGTAATAATATTATAATCGTACACTGATCGAGCATACTTACTCCGTAGATCACCAATTCTATCACAAATGGGCGTTGCTGACGGATCCGGACGACGTGGCAGGTGGGCCGAAGGGCTACTTGAAATGCGACATAAGCGTGATCGGGAAGGGCGACACGGTGAAAATTCCGCCGAAAAGCGAGAAGGACGAGGACGACATCGAGGGTAACCTTTTGCTCCCGGACGGCGTGCCCATAGAGAGGCAGAGGGCGAGGTTTGTCGTGAAGGTGTACAGGGCCGACGGATTGCCGAAGATGAACAGCAGCATAATGGCAAACGTGAAAAAGGCGTTCACCGGCGAGGTGAAGGACCTCGTCGATCCATACGTTCAAGTCTCTTTCGCTGGATTGACCGTAAGAACGGAAACCGACGATCGAATCGCATTAACACGTTCATTGACCAGCGTGATTTCGTTCCTCACGAAGTAGTTTTAACATTTTTATATTATATATTTTAATATAAAATTCAGTTGGATATATATATATATATATATATCAATTCTTAGTTTTCATTAACCAATTCTGAATTAATTGTTTTCAGTGTCTCCACTTCTACTTCTAAGTATTTTGGTCTGAATGTATAAGCCTCTGATTGGCTGTCCAACTTCAACTCAGTTCTATATTATCGATGGAAATTCGAAAACAACAGCTTCCTATGTTACCATATAATTTTAAAATTGTATAAAAATGCAGAGTGGTTCGTTAACAGATTATGCTTGTCCCTCTTTTTTGTTTCTATTATTCTTAAATTTCAAATTCTGTGATTCCAAAGTGTATTTTATATTTATATTTTAGTATTTATTCCATCAAATTTCTTTTAAAATTCAGCTTCAACTCTTTGTATTCATATGTCGCTATATAATCCTATATTTTGTTATTATACGTATATTTACATTAATAAATATATGTATAATATAATATAACATTCTAGAGGGCTCTTCTTACTTGATCGATAACTTTCTTAAATATAAATACAAATGTAAATGGTTAAAATCTTTTTTTTTTTTTTTGAAAAAGAAATATATGGGTGACGTGACAACGAACGTGTTAAACGATTGATTAAAAATTTCGAAATCATCAATTGAACATTTGAAATGACTTCCATTTTCTTTCAGGGTAAGACGAGCGTGAAGAGGCACAGTTACGCGCCAGTTTGGAACGAGCAGATCATTTTCACGGAGATGTTCCCACCCCTGTGTCAAAGGATCAAGATTCAATTGTGCGACAACGATCCGGTTCACGCGACCGTGATCGGCACGCACTTCGTCGATTTGAAGCAGATCAGCAACGACGGGGAGAAAGGCTTTCTGCCCACGTTCGGCCCGGCCTTCGTCCACTTTTACGGAAGCATTAGGGATTACAGTATCATAGACGAGCATTCGACCTTAAACGCTGGATTAGGAGAGGGAATTTCTTATAGAGCAAGGTTGTTATTCGTTTCCCCTTCGTTCTATCACTCTCTTTCGAATGATCGAGTTAATTAACACGTTCATCGCTTGTAGCATGATTTCGTTGAGTTCCTTATGGGGCCCAAATGTTATTGTTGGAAAGCAGTAAGAACGTAAACGGAAGTAGTTTTAATATTTTTATTTTATATATTTTAAAGCAAAATTTAGTTGGGATATATTTATATATATATCAATTCTGTAACACCGATTTTGAATTAGTTGTTTTCAGTGTCTCTACTTCTACTTCTAAGTATTTTGGTTTGAATGTATAAGCCTCTAATTGGTTGTCCAACTTCAACTCAGTTCTATATTATCGGTGGAAATTCGAAAACAACACCTTCCTATGTTACCATATACGGTATAATTTTAAAATTGTATAAAAATGCAGAGTGGTTCGCTAACAGATCATACTTGTCCCTCTTCTCTGTTTCTATTGTTTTTAAATTTTAATTCTGTGATTACAAAACATAGTTTATATTTATATTTCAAAATTCCGCTTTAACCCTTTGCATTCAGTTAGAAAGAGGACAAGTATGATTTGTTAGTGAGCCACTCTGCATCTTTATACAATTTTAAATCTAAAATTGTACCATATGTGGTAATACAGGAGGGTGTTGTTACGAATTTCCATTGATAATGCAGAACTGAGTTGGACAGCCAATCAGAGACTTATATTCAGACCAAAATACTGAGAAGTAGAATTGGTTAATGAAAACTAAGAACTGATATATATATATATATATACCTCAACTAAATTTTATTTTAAAATATATAAAATAAAAATATTAAAACTTCCGTTTATCGCTCTCTTCTTACGGCTTTCCGACAGTAACATTTGGGCCCCAATTTCATGAGAAACTGAACGAAATTACGCTGGGCGACGAACGTGTTAAGGATAATGAAAGAAGGATGAAAGAAATAATCGTATTATATACTTTCCTACGCTCTAGATTATTAATAGCTATTAGAACAGAAATAAGCGATAACGTAGAGATGGCTCCGTCCGAGGTCGAAGTGGAACCGACGATACCCATAAACGAATCCGCATATACGAGGAACGAGGAGTTTTTCCTCTTTGCGACGATAATGGACGCCACGATGATTGACAAGAAGCTCGGCGATAAACCGTTATATTTTGAATTGTCGATAGGAAACGCAGGGAACGCCTTGGACGGTCACAATGAAAGCTCGAAGGTAAGATTATTGAAAATTCACGAGATTCATTCGTGACAATTCGTTTTAATTGGATTCGTTGATTAGATATGCGAGATGGGGCCAAAAAGTGGAACGAGCAGCGATCAAGAGGAGCTTCAGGAAGTGTTGAGCGGATCTTGGCAGAGTACCACTCCATCTTGCAAGCCAATGACTCATGACAAAATTTATTATTTTCTGCCGTATTGGGACGATAAGCCATGCCTTCATGTCAGAAGCATCTGGCCCGATTATAGGCGTAGAATGTACAATAGCAATATAATCAGTAAAATTTCTGATAAATTGGTGAGTCTCTTGTGAAAGAAGAAATGAAGTTTCCTAATTGTTTATTTATTTAATTTTTTGGAACAGGAAGAAGGATTATCGGAGGTTCAATCGCATATAGATGATTGCTCAGGGGAGAAAATTTTAAAATCCACGTTAGAAGAATTAACTAGCAATTGTAATCGATACGTGAGCATCAGTAAATCGAGTGTCACCGGGCCAGGAGTTGGGAAAACGAAACTCGACAAGGAAAGGACGAAATTGTGTCAAAGAGAATTGGAAGGTATAGGAATGATGTCACGGAATCTTAAAGCTGTTGTCACTAAGAGTAGCTTCAAGGAAAGATTGAAGACGGCTCAAGGGTATTTGCAGAAATTAAAATTTCTGGTCGAGGACGTGAGTGTTGCTCAACATCCTCCATGAGTTTTTACTATTATGTGCTGTTACGCTATTGTAAGTTAAACACTAAACAAAAGAGAAACGTACGATTTTCAGCCTCAAGATTCCCTCCCGGATGTTTTTATTTGGGTAATTAGTTCTGGACGACGAATCGCATATCATAGAATACTGGGAAGAGATTTAATTTATTCGATCGTCGATGAAGAGTGTGGTAGATATTGTGGAAAAGTTCAAACCATATTTCTCAAAGTACGTTCATTTCATCTTTAATTAACAAGACCTCTGTTATTCGTCTTGATTCTTATTCATTCAACAGTGATTCTATTAAATTAATCGATAGCTTCCAGGCAAGAAACGGTTTGGTCCTTCAGGTTGGACGATACAGGGAAAATTGCAGATTTATATGTGGCTTGGTATCTTGAAACACAAGAAATATTTCACTCAAGGCTTGCCAAAGGGATACGAACTTAGTCACGAATTGAAAAACGTGGACAGACCGCGTGCTTTACCACCAATCATTATTCATTATGTTGAAAAACACGTAGGTATATACGAATTATTGAAAATGACAAACAATTAAATTTGAAAAATTGGAAAATTTTCACGTTTTCAATTTACTTACTAAAATGTTTCAATTATATCGAGTAGAAGTTCCAGTTAAGAGCGCACATGTATCAAGCTCGGTCTTTGATCGGCAGCGATGCATCCGGCCTTTCCGATCCCTTTGCAAGAGTGATTTGCGGCGAATTTTGCAAGTCCACTCAAGTAATCGACGAAACCCTGAGCCCTACATGGGACGAACTTCTTCTTTTCGACGACATCTTGATTTACGGGACTGGCGAGGAATTAAAAAGGATCCACCGTCCATCGTCATCGAACTGTTTGATCAAGATAAAGTGGTATGATAAAAAATTTTCCTGATATAAGATTCTGCTTTATCTTTAGTTGCAATACAATGTTTAATTGAAAGAAAATAACGTTTTTTTTACGATTGATTAAATTGATTGATTTTCTTATCTTTTTGTGATTCTTTTTTTACAGAGTCATTTTGTAACTATGGACATAACACTGCATGAGGGCTCTGCTTTAACAGTTTGTATATGATATACAACATTCATACGCAAAAAAAAAAAAAACACACGCTTCCACATTTTATTTTTTTCGATATTAATTTAGGTACAACATTCAAAATCGTTTTGAAATTGAATTGTTTGTGCACTGTATTGACCAGAAAACAGAAATTATTATTTTAACACAACTTGAACATTTTTTTTTAAAAAAAAGAAATTTTGAAAAAAATATAAAAAAAACATTTTTATCCGCGATAAAATATATTATATATTGTTAGAAAAAAAAAGAACTAATATTTCGACAAAATTTATTCAGACAAATTGAATAATAGTAAATGCACGATGGTTTCAGGGCAAATCTGAGTACATAGGTCGAGCGGTTGCACGACCTCACGTAAAACTCGCCTCAGAAACTTACACACCACCGAGGTTTCCACCTTCGTTGGAATGGTACGATGTAACAAGAGGTGCTGCAAGAGCGGGCGAACTTCTTGCCGTTTTCGAATTATTGGAATATCCTTCGACGAAAGATTATGGCTTACCTACATTGCCAGATCCGAAAGAGATAATAACCCAAACTCCTATTGTGACTCAGGACCAGGGACCAATTCTTCCAGTTCCTGTTGGTATTCGACCAACTCTATCCAAATATCGGTAAAATTTAAAATTATTTTCCAACATTTTTAAAATTGTTAAATCTACTCGCCTTCATCCTCGTTATTTTCTGTCACAGAATCGAAGTTTTGTTTTGGGGTCTAAGGGATCTAAAGAGGATACACTTGATGACCGTGGACAAACCTCGAGTGGATGTCGAATGTGCTGGCCATATTCTCTATTCTTCGGTTATAACAAATGCAAAAAAGAATCCAAATTTCAATACACCGGTGAAATTTTTAGAGTTGGAATTACCGGAACAAGAACTTTATCGACCACCTTTAACCATCAGAGCTGTAGATTGCAGAAGTTTCGGTCGTTATACCCTTGTTGGAACGCACACGATAAATTCGATCCATAAATATATGTATTGTCCGCAAACGAAGAAAGCGAAAGATGTAGAAGAAAGAAGGAAAAATTTGTATCAGTTGCAACAATATACAAGTAATATGATTTTAATCTCAGAAATTTAAAATATGTATATATATATTTCATGTTTTTCGCATTTTTCCATATGTTAGGTTTCGATACATCAAAAATCAAATATCAATACGCATCTTTACCGGAATCTTTAACCGATCTTGAATTTAGTATCGGAGATGCGATCATTACTCTAGGCCTAGAGCAAGGTTGGCCAACGAAGAGAGATAAAACGGAACAGAACATAAAAAAGAAGCAAAGTTTAGTCAATGATGGAAGTATGGGTGAGTACATTATACATGTAAAATCAAAAATTAGAGTAATATAGTAAAATCGAATGAAATCTGTCAGGAGATTTCAGTATTTTCGAAGACGAGGAAGGTTGTCAAGATTGGTGGACGAAATACTTTGCCTCTATCGAAGCTATGATAGAAGAGAATAAGGAACTTCGTAGAGAGAAACCAATGTTTCAAACACAAGCGAATGGTACTGTTCTAAATTACATGGAGGAAAATTGCAATCAAAATCAAATGAATCCATCGGGTGACAAGAGTCCTGGTGTTACCGCGAAAAAATTGTTTGGCCTAAAGTCGACAGCGAATACAGCGAGATTTGTTTCGAAGCTTAGTCCTAAGCAAACTTATCAGAAATTTCCAAAAACAGCGCTGTTGAAAATTTATCCGAACGAATTAGAAGCTCAACCAGAATTCGAACAATTCAAGGAATGGTTGCACACATTCGAATTATACAGAGGAAAGAAAACTGGAGATGAGCCTGAAGACGAGTCTAGAATAGTTGGATGTTTTAAAGGAGCGTTAAAAGTTTATAAATGGCCTCTTCCTAAAGATTTAATAGATCACACGGTTATGGGTTTCGACCCGCAATTTGGTTTTTTTCAAGGTGTACCTTCGAACGAACCGATTCATGTATTGGTACGAGTCTATATTGTTAAGGCAAACGATCTTCATCCTTGTGATTTGAATGGAAAAGCTGATCCGTACGTCGTTCTGCAACTAGGCAATAAAAGAATCAGTGATAAAGAGAATTACGTATCAAAACAACTTAATCCTGTTTTTGGCAAGTATGTATAAAATTTTTTCATATCGAAATATTAATATATTTTAATACATTTTATTTTCAAGGTGTTTCGAAATAGAAGCAACTTTTCCACAGGATTCGTTGTTGACTGTCCAAGTATTGGATTGGGACTTAGTCGGTACTGATGATATGATCGGTGAAACAAAAATTGACCTAGAAAATAGATTTTATAGTAGACATCGTGCTACTTGTGGATTAGCCAAAAAATATGACGAGTAAGTTTTTCATTGGAAATATTTCAAAACGTGATGAATGGTAAATATATATATATATATTTTTTAACGTATTTCAGATCTGGTTACAATAAATGGAGAGATGCGATGAAACCAACGCAAATCTTGTCGAAACTTTGTAAAGAGGGAAAGATCGATGGACCAGTATATTCGCACGGAAAAGTATCAATTGGAAGAAAAACGTTCTCTTTGTCTAACGAAGAAATGGAATGTTATGTTCATTCGAAAGGTAAATAAGATTTAAACTAATGGAAATACCATCGTTTTTATTATACAATGTTCTTCCAGGCATAGAAGAGCATCTTGCATTGGCAGTTCTTCATCAATGGCATGCTCTTCCAAGAATCGGTTGTGCCTTGGTTCCCGAACATGTGGAGACACGTCCACTTTATAATCCCGAAAAACCAGGAATCGAACAAGGAAAGTTGGAAATGTGGGTTGATATGTTTCCCATGGATATGCCTTCACCAGGACCGTCGATCGATATTTCACCGAGAAAGCCTAAAAGTTACGAACTTCGGATTGTTATATGGAACACAGACGACGTTGTATTGGAAGATGATGCGTTTTTTACTGGTGAAAAAATGAGCGACATTTATGTCAAAGGGTATAATATTTATATAATTTTTACAGAATGAATTTGGATATTGAATTTAAATTAATTGTAATTTTTTTTTCATGTTTTAGATGGTTAAAAGGTCCAGAAGATTGCCAGTCCACAGATATTCATTATCGTTCTTTAACTGGAGAAGGAAATTTCAATTGGCGTTTTATATTTCCGTTTGATTATCTCGTAGCAGAAGAGAAAATTGTTATCAATCGCAAAGAGAGTCTTTTTAGCTGGGACGAAACTGAATGCAAGATTCCAGCTCGTTTAGAATTACAAGTGATATATATATATATATATATTACATTAAAAAAATTCATATTTTACAATTATATATCACTTATATTTCCAATTTTATACAGGTTTGGGATGCAGATCACTTTTCAGCCGACGATTTTTTGGGTGCTATTACTCTTGATTTAAATCGATTTCCTCGAGGTGCAAAGAATAGCAAACTCTGTACATTAAGCATGTTGAAGACCGATGGATCTGTGCCAACTGTAAATATTTTCAAACAAAAACGGATAAAAGGCTGGTGGCCTTTCTATGTCAAAAAGGAAAATGAGGATATGGAATTGACGGTAAATTTTAATTCATATTTACATTCTAATTTTAACACGATTCACATAAACTTGAAAAATATTTCACATTGACAATACTGCAGGGTAAGGTAGAAGCTGAAATTCATTTATTGAGTAAAGAAGAAGCTGAAAAAAATCCTGCAGGATTTGGAAGAAATGAACCGGATCCACTTGAGAAACCAAAGTAAGAAATATTATCAATTTATATAAATAAAGAATTTATTATTTTCTTAACTATATAACATAATTTATCTTTAAATATTACAAATTTAAAAAATTTTAAATATCGAATTCAAAATTATCGTTATTTATTATGATTAAAATACAATTTTTTTCACAATAAATCTATTAGCTTTTAAATATATCTTTAATTATTGTTTGTTTAATATTTCAGCCGACCTGATGCATCTTTCATGTGGTTCATGAATCCTTTGAAATCTATTAAATATATTATATGGCACAATTATAAATTAGCAATCTTGAAAGCTTTTATAATAATTGGTTTAATAGTACTTGTATTATTGTTCTTTTATGCGATACCTGGTTATTCCGTTAAAAAGTTGTTGGGAGCATAAAAATACTATTTGCAAATTTTATTGATATATATGCTCATAATATTTTAAATAATAAAACATGATATTTTGATAAAAAAAAAAGAATATAGTTAAATTATCATTTAATATTATAAATATAACTTCGAATATTTTAAAGATAGTTTTGTCCACTAGAAATCTATATCAGTATTATATTATATAAATCTTATTTTTTCAACATTTAACGTTTATACATATTGGACTATATTCTATCATATAAATATCATAGACCTCGAAATTTAAAACAATTAACATTTATTTTTTTTTTTTAATAATTCTAATATTTTTCTTGTTTTGCAAACAATTTTAAATCGTAAAATAGATTATGCTTTTAGATAAAAGAGCTTTTTTAAATAAATAATTGCTGTATAGTGGACCAACGAAACAATAAAAGCTAATATGTACATAAAAGAGTAGTACAATAAATAATTAAAAATCATTAGATCATTAGATGCAGTACAATAATGCGTGTAATATACATAATATTTTTACTTATCAAATATTTCGTTACAAACATTATAGCCTATTTCGTTGTAAATAGATAACATATATAATGTGTATTGAAAAATAAATAAAAATTATTCATTGACCAATGAACAATTAATATTTTTATATATCTGTTGATAATGCTTCAAATTTATTAACTACATTTGGTAATTCTAATTCCTCACTTGTAGTTTCATCAGAATCTTCAGAATTATCACATGCATCTTTTGATATTCTCTTTTGATGTTTTTGATTTTCTAAGTGTTCTTCTTCATCTTCATCTTCAGATGAAATATATACTTTTTTTGCATCGTTAATATCTTCTCCTTTATTCCTAGCTTGAATCCATCTAACTAGTTCAACTTCCGAATGATTCTCCCATTTTTCTGTATGATTATATAAATTATTATTTTTTAGAATTATTTTTTTTAAATTATTTATACTAATCTATAGTAATAATAACCTTTATTAAGAACCCAATCCGGGGGATATACATATATACAAATTTTTCCTTCAAGTGCCATTCTTAACAATGAATTAGCTGCTCTATAAGTATCAAATCTAGCGGTTCGTGCAGTAATGAAATTTCGTTTAGAAGCCCAACTATCACAAATGTCTATAGCAGACCATGTATCATCATTATCTAAATGTTGTAGTTTAAGTATTTTAGGTAAGTCTATTCTTTCAGCTAGAAATTTAATTGTTGTATATGGTTCTCTGACTTGAGCTATTGGAAAGGATCCCATTAATATTTGCAATTGTTTAGGTACTGTAGATGGAAATACTAATCCTGGACAGTCACAGAGACAAACAGTTTTTGTAAGAAATATAGTTTGAAAATGTTTTGTATGTCCTGGAGTACGTGATACACTAACAACTTTTTTTCCTAAAATAAAAGATATTCAAATGAGATATTTACATATTATTACTTACTATATTTTAAATATGTTATAAAAAAAATTTACCCATTAATGCATTCATTAAAGATGATTTTCCAACATTTGGAGTTCCAATACATCCAATACTTAAAACTCCATTTTTATAACGCTCATGTTTAAAATAACTTGTATCTTTTTTTTCAATAGTAACATTGTCTTTGTGATCAACATCATCTGAATCAAATTCCATTTCCATTTCTTCTTTAATTTTATTTTGCCAAGAAGTTAAATCTACATTATCTCCAACAATTTCCTTGCAAATATCTAACAATTTCTGAGCTCCTTCTGCAGCCATTTTAAGTTTTCCTTTTCTACGCCTTTGTTTTATTCCTTCTGTTTCACTTGTATTTCCACGCAAATTATAAGTAGGATATGATGTAAACATTAAAATATGTAACTTTGGATATACAGTACGAAAATATTCTTTCCATGCTATTATTAAAGCTGGAGGTGCTAAATCAACTTTATTTAATACTAGAATCATATCTTTTTTTTGTTCATTTGTTATATACTCATATAAATATGGTGGAAACATTAAAACACAATATCTAATATCAACAATACTTAATAAAATATCAGACATTTCTAAAACTCTCCATAATTGTCTCCAAGTTTCTAAATTTAATTCAAAATAACTTATAGAACTTAATTTTTCAATATTTTTTAGATACTCCTAAAAATAATAACTTATTAGCTGATATTAAATTTATTTCTCAATAAATATAAGTAAAAATTGTAATTGCTTACAGTAAAATATTTTTGTTCTCTTAATTCTAATTGTTCTTTTGACATATTGAAATTCCAAGGTGGTCGTTTTGGCATATTAATTTCAGGTGGAAAATAATTATTAGAAATTTCTTGATCTTTAAGAGATAAAGCTTCAATAGCATTTCTAGCTTGTTCTTTTCGTTTTAATAGTTCTTCTTTACTTTCATGGAAGAATTGTAAAGTATATCTATTTTTAGAAGAATTATTATCTTTTGGCTGCTTATTAATTTTTTGTATAGCATTATTTTCAAAACCACTATAATGGTTTATTTTATCTTCATTGGATGTATTGTAATTTTCTGTTGCTAATTGTAATATAAAATAAATTATTTTCGAGAAATATAAATAAAAATATAAAATATATAAATATGTATTATTTAAGTTATTATATTACTTAAGTTTATATTATATATACCAAATAAAGTCGAAGATTGTCGTTGTTTTTTGGCTTGTAATTGCTGTTTTTTAGCTTTACCGCTAAATGCTTTTTTTCTTGTTCCTTGCGGCATTTTTTAACAATCTTAACCTCTCAATTAATTTCTTTATTTTTTTATGAAATTATGATATATTTCTTAATTAGCACATCTTGGATATTTATCAAATTTAGGATAACAAGACTTTAAAACATTTGTTTTAGAAATAATAAATTTTTAGAATATTTATAATCGAAAATAATTTATTACGTACATTTCTAATGAATATAATATATACATTCTTATGGATATAATACATTATATATATAATATGCAGTAATACCAAATTTGATTGAGACAGATAAACTAAACTGTCACAATATTCCTAAAATTTTAATTCGAAATTTATAAAAAAAAACATTAATTTTTTATTACGAATTCAAATTTAATGTAATAATAATATAATAAATTTAATGTAAATAATTTAAATGTAATTTAAATGTAAATTTATTTATTTTTCATGTATTATTAAAAAATCAATATTTTAAATTTATTTATGTTACTATTTAAAAAACTAACATTTATTTATAACAAAATAATTAAAATTTTAATAAATTATATTAATATACAAAATATTAAATTATATTATTACATTATAAAGTTAAGAAAATAATTCTATTTTCTATATTCTATATTCTATATTTTTTAATTAAAAATTAAAATATTGCAATTTTGAAAAAAAAATGAAAATATTTTTAATTTCAAATACTTTTGTAATTACGCGCCAAAAGCAAGTATAGAAGAAAAGCAAATAGATAAAGGACTAAGATTAATAATTATAAAAATTTAGGAATTTAGAAACGCCATCTCGACGATCCTGCAATGAATCCTGCAAATGAAACATATGAAAAAAGAATAGCAAATAATAAGAGAAAGAAAAATAAGATATGAATTTATCTTCAATGCCATTTCTCGAATATCAAAGGCAAGCTAGAATAGAAAATTAAAAATATCATAATTATTTCTTGAGTGATCTTAGAAATTAATGATGATTAATTTCTATGGAATTAATGTCTTTGGAATTTACAAGATGGCGTTAATAGTCAATTTATTTATTTATTTCTATCTTTTTCTCATTGTTTCCTATCTTATCTTCATATGTTTCATTCGCGACACTCTAAAGATAGCGCGGATTTTTGAATTTTTATCTTATTTCCTTTTCCAATTATTTATCTTTCTTACTCTCTTGCTCTTTTTTTCTTTGCAAAATTTATGCACGAAGAAACAGCTTCGATATCTAATTAATTTTATTATTATTTTTTTCCTAACTTATTGATTAAAAATTTTAACAATTTTAAAAGTAGCATTTTTTAAAATTATTTATAAATAGCATTTTTATAAATAATAGCTTTTGTAATTAAATTCCTGCAATTATAGAAAATATTAAATATATTTTTTGCATGATTTCAAAACATGAATGTAGAACACAAAGTCTCATTAAATATTAGGTTAAATCTATTTTATATCATGTCTGTAATAGTGATGATATATTTTTGACTTATTGTTGGTACTTTACATTTGCTTATTTATTTAATATATAATAACTCAATCTTTTTTTTAATATGTTTAATATTCATTTTTTCTATATAATTTATTAATTCAATATAAATTCCGTGATAAAACATGAATAATAATAAAATTGTTGTGTAATAAAATTAGAAATTTACATATAACCTCTATATAATCAATAACAATTATTTTTTGATATGTATACCAGTTTAAAAAATTCATTGCCAAATTTTTCTATTAATATTTTAAAAAGTGTTACAAGGAAATGTACAAGTTTGACCCTAAATGAAACAGAAAATGCAATTTATCCATCTATATTGGATTTATCTTACAAAGCTAATCTTAGAAGAAAAAATGAAGAATGGCATAATAAAATTAAAAAATTAGAAACTGTGGAGGAAAAGTTAATAGGAATTAATATGCCACGTTACTATGGTTGGAAATCATTAAATTTAAAAGAAGGATTTGTACCATATAATTCATTAGAACATGCTCAATATATTACACATACTCATGTTATAAACAATAATAAATTACCTGAATTTTATGATACAGTAATTGCACCTGAAAAAATAAATAACTTAGTACAAATTATTAAACAGAATATAGAAAATATTATCATTTTTGAATATAATCATAGATTGTAAGTATAAATTAAAATAATAATTATAATAATTAATAATAATAAGAATAATTTTTTTTAATATAACAATTTTTTAATTTATTAATAAAGTTATATTTTATAAAGTTAAAAATATCTATATAAAAATTATTTGTAAAATTAATTTGGTAAATTCATATTATAGAAAAAAACAAGAAATAATAGAGGAAATAGATACAGAAAAAGAAAAATTATTACAAAATGCTATTACAAAGGCACTTGTTTTTCAAATCAA